ACACTCCCCCCACCTACTTACCCTGCCATGACTCACTCCTTTTTAACCTGTGGGATAAATTGAAGCTCAAATTCAAACTTACATAGTTTGTCGCCACTGACACCCATTCTTCACGTCAAACTCTTCCCACCCAGGCTAGTGGCGAGACACTTTCGTAATTAAGAAGAAAGCAATATCTATAGGTTTTTGCACCTCTACCACGAGTCTCGCCCTGTTGAATATATAGATCTCCGTAGGAGAGATGAGCTTAGCACCAGTGGACTCCGCTATATCCAACTACGTGACTTGACAGCAATGCCCGCTGTGAAAATGGCAGGCACGGTGCCGCCTACAAGGCAAAGCATGGATTCCCCAATTTGCAAAGGCCAAACCTCTCCCTGACTACACATACAATTTAAATACACCTACCATATATCACAGCATGGCGAAAATCTCACCTGGTTTGGTTTGTGCGCTAAATTTCATATAATATTAACGATTCAGAATTTTTCCAAATGAATCCTGAAAGGCAAGAATATGTGATCTTGAAAAATTCTCAAACTCTGCAATAGTCACACATTTTCCATAGTTTTACCATTTGCAATTTGAGAATTCCAAGTTTAGCAAATAACAGTCAGCAAAGTTTGCAATCATGGCTGATTGCCTGTTTTTAACTTTAGGCTAAGTTAAGCTAAAGATGTTTTGTTTTGTTTTGTTTAAGCAGTTAAGCTAAAGATGTTTTGGTGACTATAGTGCTCCTTTAAAATCAAAATACCCAGACTGGAATATTCAGCTGGATAGAAATGTATGCTTCCAGTTCAGCTACTCTGGCCTTAGATTTGAAATTGACTTTAATGCTCTCTTTAGTAAATAACTCTGTTAGTGTCTCTGAATCGAGAGATAGTAGCCTGACTAGTGTCAACAGCAATTTGCCAAATTCTGCTAACTCCCACACATTTTACACATGCATAATGTTTTATGTGTTGTTGTACCTGTTTGTCACTGTTTATCTGTCTCTGTTATAACAACTATGTTCACATCTGTTTGCAGCAAACGTCACACTGGATAGGACCCAACTGACTGCAGGTAAGGACTATTATTAACTATTATTCATATTAATAAAGGTGAAATCCATCTAAAATAGTTTTGTTTGCTCCATTTTATAATCAGCCTCTAATTGTGCTGCCATTATAAGATTTTAAAAAAATGTGACAATTTTCAAGGAAAGTCAATGTATTTGAGTGATGTACATTTGCTTTTTCTGTCATCTAGTGAAAATAACTACTTTATATTTCTGCATTTTGGTAATTTAAAAAAAAATGTTGTTTATATTTTGTAATTTGTTGATCTTTACTTTTTATATTCACACGACTGTTCTTTCTGCATCATCAGTTTGTTCTCAAAGCTTTCATTTTATTATTAGCCATTTTTAAAAGTATTTGCTGGATTGTTTTTCGAGGTTTACTTTTTTTTGTCTTAAAACATGTAGCACCCTTCACAACTCTCTGCCATGTGCATTTTTGTGCCTGAATCCCAGATTCCCAGAGAGTTGAGTATTTTCTGTAATAAGAACCTGTCCCGTATATGAGCACATATGCGCAGAAACCAAAGAATGGGGCAACCTGACATACACTGACCATTGGGAAAGGGACCGGAGTGAGGTATTAGAGGGTGTGGAGTGGCAGGATATTTGGGAGGCGACAGCTACATCTTCTATATGCGTTTCTATGCAGGAACAGTCCTTTAAGACCCCCTTTAGATGGTACACCACCCCAATACAACTTCACCGCATTCGAAAGACACCTACACATCTGTGCTGGAGGAACTGTGGCCTTAGAGGCACATACATCCACATGTGGTGGGAGTGCCCCACCATTCAAACGTTCTGGGAAGATGTTAGAGACATACTGGGCCAGGTTTTCCAGAGGGCACCCACCCTGGACCCGTGGACATATCTCCTAGGCAGGCCAATAGATGACTGGTCCAAATACGACCTAAAACTATTCAACAAAATAACACTGGCAGCCAGGCGAGCCATAGCACAATACTGGTTAAAAATGCAACTCCTCCCCAGCTCGGTGGTCCTAGGGAAAATAAAGGACAGCTATCTCATGGACGACCTAACTGCCAGGGTACGAGGCACCCAAATGGCATTTGAGAAGACGTAGGGAGTGTGGAAAGAATGCCCCTTGGCAGAGTAACGGACCTGACGCTGTATGGACAGTGTGGCCGCTCCCCGGGGAGGGGGAGTGCTGGTATGTTCCCCGCCCCCTCTCTCGGCCTCCTGCCGCTTTCCACCCCCCTCCTCCTCGGGTCCCCTCGGTCCCATCCCAATGCCCGTTCTTCTCTGCTATCCC